GGTTCCGATACTGCAATAGTCCCAAACCAAGAGATGGAGGTAGGTGCACACTGATAGATGTTTGCACTAGAAGTACATACTAGAAGTTTTCAATGAGAAGTAAAGTGCTGCCGGTAACACATAAATAATATGGGAATGTAAACAGGTGAACTAGGGCCAAAAGTTGCATATGAAGTATACCGGTAAGCCATAAGACAATGTTGAAAATCAAAATTCCCACGCATGTCAATCAAAGTATGAAACTCGTACTTCTACAGGCAAAAACAACTAACGAACAAATCCGACGTTTCGGCGACATCTTGGCGCCATTGCCATGGGAAACTAATTAAATATGCGATTTCAAGAGTAACTAAGAGTTCAGAGTTACTAATTTGCATAAGTTAGACAAAGACTTTAGCGCGAACTGGGTCTGATTGTACATTTAAACACGGTCGTAATTGTTTAATGAGTAACATCTCATTAATGAGACAATCAAACTTGTTGTGGCATTTTTTCAACACGCTAAAACAATTGCGAAGGTCACCCGGAATCCTGCCTGCGTGTCTATTATCATAGTGATTGCGTACTGACGAGGTCTTGCTTCTATGTCCATCAACGCGTACGAACAGATGGCCACGGGTGTAACCGACATAACCAACATCGCACTGGTCACACTTGGCTATATATATATATTGCACGTAAAATACATTAAAATAAGTGGCCTCTTTTGCAAGCATTTTCAGTGTTGATCCAAAAACTCTGTCAACCCATAAATATGTGTTCCAACAAGCTCACACGGGGGTTTCTTTCCCTTTGTTATCTTTTCAATCAGGAAGCAAAAGTGTGAAAAAAAGACACGGTAAGAATCATTTAAGCTTATCAAAATCAAATACTTGGGAATTTCTTTCCAAGTTTATGTGCATTTCACATCCCACTCAGAGTTCAGATCAATGAACTAAAATAAACAAGACAAGTATAGAGAACACAACTTTAATCTAAACATAACTCAATGTCGGTAGGACGTGGACAACTCAACATAAAACAAAAACTTCAGTGCTATAAACTGCAAAGGTGTGAACGAAGGTCTTGCTTGATTGAACGTTGGATCTCACAGGAGATCTAATCAGCCAAACTTGAAAAGTAAAACGATGAGAAATCAAAGACTACTGCAAGGCTGACACAACGTCATACATTTAGAACAATATTTCGGCTGGCCTGCAGACTATAGCTAGCCTTCTTCAGGTTAAGATGCTACTAAATTTTAAAATGAAATTACAATATTATATAATGGTGCCGATGTTTATCCGGTTTTCAATAGCTGAAAAAAATTGTTCGTTTCGCTTATATAAGTTCATTAAGGTCGACGAATAAGACACATTCTCATCAAAGCTTACTACATTAGCATGTAAAGCGCCATGGACAAATAGTAGATTGGCGTTATATAAATATTTTATTATTATTACAAATAGTGGATTGGCGCTATATAATTATTTTATTATTATTATTATTATTATTATTATTATTATTATTATTAGCATGAGATTTATTCATTTTCAGGTCACTTTCTAGCAAAAAATGCTCATCTCCTCGTCATGTTTAACGCTTGGACAAGTCAAATGAAATTCATGAAATTCAGCTTTCAAGTTGGCCATAGCACCAACTCGAACATTCGAAGTAAACTCCACTTCGAACCGCGCAAACAATATAGCGAGGCTCGCGCTGACCACGTGGTTACTATTCCAATATGGCATCGGGCTCGGTTATTATTCCAATATGGCGTCGGGCATGGTTACTATTCCAACATGGCGTTGAGCTCGGTCACTATTCCATAGCGTAGGGCTCGGGCGCTCTCGTTCGGGCCTACTAATTACGGACAGTGTCTAGACCTGAGTGAGTGACACATTTGCATATCCGAGTGCCCGCAACAAGAACGTTTCTACGTTTCGCGTATCCACGAGTTTAAAAGAGGACTGTGAGACATTATGTAAGTCATGCCTCATTGTGTCCCTTCCACCAAAAATGTAGAGCAATCCTATCACGAAGGGTTGAAGTGCAATGGTTTTTCACAAAAGACTGTCTTCTGTTAGCTATATCTGTTTTCCAGTGGCAATATTGACAAACTGCAAGCTGTACAGAATTTCGCCTCTAGAATGTAAGCGGTGCAAGACATACGACCATGTTACGCCGTTTTAAAAGGATGCCCAGCCAGCTCTACCTCAAAAGTGCCCTCCCTGCTTTTAGAAAAATACTTGACTGGCTTTGTGCCAGAATATCTGTCTAGCAAGCCTAATGTAAGCCAGTACTTGACTAGAAACTCGCGACAGCCTAATTCTCATTCCCCTTTTCAAAACGGCTACAGGCCAGAGAACTTTTCATTATAAGAGTGTAAATCTCTGGAACTGTTTAGAGGCGACCTTAAGAACTTGCGAGTCTGTAGCAACATTAAAGAAGACCCCGAGACATCGACTTTTCAAGAAACATTTAGCCTCTTAGCATCACATTTTGGCGCTTTTGTTTGGAAAACGTTCTAAAGGTGTTACCCAACAGCACCTTACTGGGTCTACGTATGGTACTCGTTCTTGTGCTTATACGCTAGTGGAAGCCGTTCTTAACAATGATAAGTCCATTGCGATCTCACGCGAAAGACGCCAATATATCCATTAACAAAAAAAGGTGATTAACCGTCAATCACTTTACCTTTAGCCAAGAGTTGATATTTTAGTGGCCTCCAGCTCTGAAACAAGTGCACTGACAAGTTATGATAAAAGACCAATCTGTCTTTTTGTTTCGAGGAATTTTAATGATGGTGGAGTTAGTTTGTTTCCCGAGAATCTCAATGCTTCCCGAGGGAATGTCGAGCGATCGGGCTCGAACAGCCGACTGCCGCTTGGTACTTCTGTCTCGCCTCCTGGCATAACTGAGAAAAAGCCTTGTCGAAAACCTCGACGAAATCTTTAGATTATACTCGTCGCCAATGTAGAGTCGCGCTAAATAAAATAACTCCTACTTTTAATACACACGAATGGACCGTTACATCTTGGTTTCCACACACACTACGCGTACATTACGCTTGCTTATATAAATAGCGAAAACAATTCCTATATTACGTGATTGGTTCCTAATTACCTTTAGCCCAGATTTGATATTTAAGCGGCCTCAAGCTCTAAAAGACGTGCACTGACAAGTTATGATTAAAGTTGTTTCGAAGAATTTTAATGATGGTGCAGCTAGTTTTGTTTCCCAGGAATCTCAATGAGAGGCAATGTCGAGCGATCGAGGTATTGCCTTTATTGTATGCTTCCAACTTCTTATATCACCTCAGTATTTTAGCAGTCGGAAATCCGGCGTGTGTATTTCTGCGGCTACTCGTTAAGGTTAAGAGGTATTATAGATCTCGGCCTAACTTGAAAAAAATTTCGGGTCAATGTTTTCAAGATGAGGCGCCTGCAACCTACAATAATCACGTAACTATAAAACGATAAAATAACCCAAGTGGGAAAAACATAAAAATTCTATTCGCAAGCAAATCTTCCATTTACGTTATTCAAATTTAAAGTGACTACCATTTTTAAATGTTATAACAGTACGAAAATTTCCAAACCCAGTAACTTTGGTTGTATCGATGTCAGTTGCTTGGGGCTGATATTTTGTTAATTTCTTTCTTATTTTACATACAAACACAGGTGTGTCCAAAGCGGCTAAACTGGACAACAACATAGGCAGTCGAAATATATGTACTCCGAAGAAACCAGCGAGCAGTGGAGCAGACAAAGAACTAGAAAGGGGTAAGATATATGAATTTAATTTCCATTACTGCAACAAAGAAATTTGCCGAAGGGGGGAAAGAAAATAAGTTCCAAAGAGTCACCGTTTTGGAAAGTAAGCTTGTAAACTTAAATGTAGTTGCCATAGATTATTTATGTCTGTACCATGTACTGAAAGGCTTCTTTTCACCAATTCATAATCATAGGGAGAAATTTGACGATAACTGGCGTTCTTGCTTGGAAAATTTCCTTAAAGTGTTGCCTAACGGCTTACAGAGTCTACTTATAGTACTTGTTCTCGTGCTTATACGCTAGTAGAAACCGTTCTTAACAATGATAAGTCCATGGCGATCTCTCGCGAAGGACACCAATATATCCATTAACTAAAATAGATGATACATTATTGCATTCTTGAAGCGACTAGAGGGTTCAATGGTCAAATAACCAATTCCTTAATATAATCTTGAAGGGTATGTGACTGTAAATATCCTACCTATATATCCATTAACAAAAATACGTGATTAACCGTCAACCAGTTTATAATTACATTTAGCCAAGATTTCATATTCAAGTGGCCTCAAGCTCTGAAACACATGCACTGACAAGTTATGAGTAAAGTAGTTTCGAGGAATTTTAATGATGGTGCAGTTAGTTTTGTTTCCCAGGAATCTGAATGTTTCCCGAGGCAATGTCGAGCGATCGAGGTATTGCCTTTTTTATACGCTTCCAACTTTTTATATCACCGTAGTTTAGAATTCGGACTTCAGGATTTGTAAATTTATGCAGCTACTCGTTAAGGTTAAGAAGATTGATTACAGATCTTGGCCTAACTTGGAAAAAACTGGCCAATGTTTTCAAGATGAGGCTCTTTTTTCAGAATCTGAACTTTCTGATCAGTTGGGTATTTGTAAACTAGGAAAAAAAAATTACACCCATGATTGTTTGCAAAGAGGGAAAAAGTTTATCTGAATGGCAAGCTGGCAATTGTAATTCACGGGGAATATATCCATTATTGCTGAACGAATTTCAAAATGTATTCAACGGAAGAACAGGAGCGTGGAATGCAATGTGGACAGTGGAACAGTTGTTGGCAGTTGTTTACTGCCATCTCACAATTTATAGCCCCTTTTCAAAAGCCATCACATGTGCGTGCGATGGCTGAACTAATCACAGTACTATGTCCCTTATTTTTTTTTCTATATCGAACATGTACTTTGTATAAGGACATGATCTGTCACCGCTGAACATCAAGTGAAAGGGTCTATCTCACTTTTTCTTTTTCAGAAAAAAAGAAAACAGAAGAAGAGACAGCTATCTGGAAATATCTGTTTCTGATTCGCCTAGCAGTGGTACTTGTAGTAGGGGTACTTTGGTTTTTATTGTCTGCAGGTAATAAAAACTGTAACTTGTGTTGTTAACTAAATCCTACATCATCAGCCAAACTGCTCATGCTAATAGTTAGTGAATACTGGGTCATGTGATGAGGTAGTTTGTAACGTAATTGGACCTGGTGGAATATGATTGTTTGAACGAGTCGTTTCAAATGGGACGAGCGCGAGGCACGAGACTGGCCCAGGCCTTTCTCAACCCCCTCCCCCTCCATGCGCCCTACTTAAGGTGTAAATATTTACCAATTATTCCATAAGCTTGCGGAAGCTATGAAGTGATAAATAACAAACAAAGCGGGTAGCGCGGATGAAGTGGAACAATGGATAATTTGGACATTTCAGTTTCATCTAAGCAAAGTGATGGTATGGAAAAGACGGGAAATCCGTCGTGGATTGCATACTTTTTTAGTTGAAAGCGAAAGCGAGGAAAGCAAGCGAGATAGCGTTTCTTCAGGAATATTGCTGTCATAGATAATCTCATCTGAGAACGTCCATATTTTGAATTTTTTAAAGTAGAAAGATGAACGGGAAGATCCGACAGAATAGCCCATCAGAAAACAACGCTCTTTGCAGCTCTAACTGCGAAATAGAGAGCTTAAATGTTTATGCGGCTATTATTAACCTAACAGATGTGTTGGACGGAAGATGCAGCTGCTATGCTTGCTCAACATAATAATAATACAACCAATTTAAGTAATCTTGAACTTATTTTTTA